TTTTTTTTTTTTTTTTAACATGAAATGCTTTTTTATAGCATGTTTTACAAGGGGAGGGGGTAAGAGGGTCCAGGTGGTGGAAAAGTACAAAATCTTCTTGGCCTGTGCCTTGAAACATGTCATGGTCTATATGGTACACTGCCTTGAATTATGATCTACCTGCAGTTCTTCAGAAGATATGGTACACTGCTTGAGTTATGGTCTCCCTGCTATTCTTAAGAAGACATGGTACTCTGCTTTGAGTCTATCTGCAGTTGCTAAGCAGGATCTTGCAGTTGCCAAGCTTCAGAGGACATTGTGCAGGTGGGGAAAGGTAGGGGGTAAGGGTAAGGGCGAGGGTCCTGGCTTCTGGCATCTCCCCCTTCTCTGTTTAGTTAGAGAAGGCGTCTTATGTTCAATCCCAACTATGTAAGTTTTGAATTTGGATGTCTAATTATGGGGGGTCAGGTCCATTTTGTAAGGAGCCCCCAAGAATGAGATGACTTATTTGGGACCCAGATAGCCTGAGGCTAGAGTTTGGTAACTAATAAGTTGTCAGAGGGTGGAAAGTTAGGGCACCAGGGAGGGGAGGGAGTTGGAGGTTGGGCTATTAAAAATATAAGAAAATGTCACCATAGCCCAGCTTTGACCAGAATGTTCATGGAGTTTTGGAGTTGGCAACAGGAAGGTGGATTTCTCTGCCCTGTGTGTGTGTTTCCATATGACTGCTTCTGAACTGTATTAGAAACTAAGCAACATGTTTTGAGTTCTGAACTCTAGCAGAGTATTAAATCAGAGGGGTCTGCAGAGACTTGAGCTTGTCTTTCTTGTTTTTGTGTTTGAGTTTGTAATGGAGCAGAAGTGTGGGTAGCCTGTGTACCCTGTGGCTGGTGTGTGATATGCGGCATCCTTGTGGGTTCAGCCTTTAATTTATGGGATTTGGTACTAATCTTAGGAGATATTGTGGAAATACTGAATTCTTGGACTCCCCTGGTTGATTTTGGAGAATTGGTAGTTAGTGTAGGAAAGACTGTACACTCGGTATCAGGAGTAGGTACTGGGAAGAAGATGACATGACCTCAAACTGTTTCTGTTAGACACCAGGGAGGGAAGATATGGGTAACATGAAGCTTCATCACATAAATTGGGACAGGTTCAGATCTGAATACAAGATTGGCCTAGACAAAGGGAACTGCCCTTAGCTGAGCTCTGTACTATTTAGTAGGCTAGTTTAGGAGCTTACACTGTTGCCCAGGCTTGTCTTGAACTCACAGCAACATTCCTGCCTTAGTGACTTGGAACTGCAGGGATTCTAGGTGTAAGGCACTATCCCTGGCTTCTGGGTATCCTCAGACAGTGAACTGGAACTGGAGTGGGTGCAGGATTTGCAGATCCCAGAGGGCACTGGGGCCTGTGTGCAGCAGCTGAGAGGCTCTGGGCTCTGCCCTTCTGAGTTGGTGGTGTGCTTCATGTGAGCTAGGCCTATTCTATATGAGGGAATCTGAGAGGCTAATGAGGAAAAATCATGTTTATTTCAAAGTTTGTGTTGTATAATCATGTTAGCTTACTGAGAGGCTGTTGGTGGCATAAACTATATAAATCCACAATTAATTTTTGGGTTTTTTTTTTTTGTCTGATTAATGTGACACATTCTGTGTTGAGTACACAGTTGAGGACAGGTTTATTTGTAGTGCTCTAGAAAGCTGTATAGCTGCTCTTGCTTTCTAGAGAATATGTATGTGTTACTTTGCTTTTGAGGCTAACTATGTAGCTTTGGCTGGCCAGGAGCTAGCTCATCTGTGTAACAGGCTGGCCTTAAACTTGCAACAGTTCTGCTTCTGCCTCCTGAATTCTGGGATTGCAGGTATGCCCCATCATACCTGGCTTTTCTTTTTGGTTTGGTTTTTCGAGACAGTGTTTCTCTATGTAGCCCTGGCTGTCCTGGAACTCACTCTGTAGACCAGGCTAGCCTCAAACTCTCGAACTCAGAAATCCACCTGCCTCTGCCTCCCAAGTGCCGGGATTAAAGGCGTACGCCACCACCACCCAGTTTATACCTGGCTTTTCAAAGGGGGAGTTGTTGGTTTTAGAGAGGTCACACATAGCACAGGGAGCAGGCTTCCAAGAACTGTAGCTAGAGAGCTCTTTTTTTTTTCTTTTTTAAATGAGGCCCTGAGCCCTTAAGAACTCTCACCTTCCCGGGCAGTGGTGGTGCATGCCCTTAATCCCAGCACTTGGGAGGCAGAGGCAGGCGGATTTCTGAGTTCGAGGCCAGCCTGGTCTACAGAATTGAGTTCCAGGACAGCCAGGGCTACACAGAGAAACCCTGTCTCAACCAAAACCAAAAAAAAAAAAAAAAAAAAAAACTCTCACTCTCACTTCTACTGGATTACATGTGCCACCAAGCTCAGCTCTGTTTTCTTCTTTGGGATCTCTGTATGTGGTGGTTTATAAACAAAGTCTCAATGTAGCCCAAGCTATCCTCTTGCCTTTTCTTGCCTCCCACTTTGGTACTGGAGATCAGAACTAGGGACTCTTACAAGCTCTTCTTCTGAGCTCTGTCCCCAACTCCTAGTGCATTGATCATAAGTGGTTCCATTTCTTCCTTAGTTGCATCATCAAATGTACCATGTTAGCTGGAACACAGAACAACTCAGTAATTATTACTGTGCTTAGTAAAATTGTAGTGGCTACAAGATTTGTTTCTTCAGCTTCTCTAGCACATATGTTCTTTCCAGTCATTTGTGGTTGTCGTCACCTTCTCTGTTTTGGGTACTACCAGTTCTTTCTTTTTTTCTTTCTTTTTTTTTGGTTAGGGATTCTTTTTGTAGTCCTGGCTGCCCTCGAATTTGATCTGTAGAATAGGTTAGCTCAAAAGGATTTTCTATAGGCGAATGGACCTGTGAATCAAAACAGAGAAGTAGTCTTGGGCCCAGAGCGAGACTCACATATACTCTTACTCTGTCAAAGAAAGCACCAGGGGCCAGTGAGATGGAAGGGGTTTGCTGCCAAGCCTGGCAACCTGAGTTCAATCCCCAGGGCCCAAATGATAGAGAGAACCCAACTATTGCAAGTTGTCCTGACTTGTATGTATACTGTGTGTGCATAGGTCCCCACACAAACCCTGGATAAATAGAAAGCAAGTAAGCACCACCATGTGGGAAGCAGAGGCAGTCTGCAGTAAAGGATGCCTCTGTTCTAGAACATAGCATTCTACTTAGATCCAGGAGAGTGAAAGCCAGACTGGTAACTGAAGGTTGGCACAAGGTAGTAGCACAAAACTCATGATGGGGTTACGTGCAGTCTGTCTGCATGGCACTTACTTTGTAGCACAAACTGACCTCAAGCTTGGCAATCCTCCTGCCTCAGCCTCCTGAATAACTGGGATTATGGGTGTGTACTACCATGTCCTGCTGAAAAATACACATGTATACACACAAACATTTGGCAGTATTGGGGATTGAATTTAGAGCCTTATGATTTTATAAGGTAAGCACACTTCACTGAGCTATAGCATGATCCCTTAAGCATTTTAATAGATGCATTCAGCAGACCAAACTGAGAGTGAGCTACAGATGTAACAGTACAAAGAGTTCATTTATTTTTGTGATGTTGGAGAACCAAAGTGTGCCCTGAGAGTTCATTTTTAATATATGTTAATGCTGTATTTCTGTAGTGTAAAGATTTGTGTGAGTACTTGAAAGGTAGATCCCTTTAGAGAGTGAAATGTAACCAGAAATTAACTATTCTGTTTTCAAAACTTGCTAATCTGATTTCTGGTATAAATGCAGAGCAGTAATCAGAAATGTGAATTTTATAGAGGCCCAGGGCCATGTGGAAATAGCTTGAGTTTAGCTACGCATATTAGCCCATGACTGTATAAGCCTAGCACCCAGAAGGCTGAGGCAGGCAATAGGCCTCAAGTTTTATACCAGCTTAAACAAGATACCCATCTTGGCCTCTGGTAAATCCACAGGTTTGTAGAATACCTAAATGGAATAAAGGAATGGCAAGAGATACAGTTCAATGTTTCAGCCTCAGGAACCTTGCCTACTGGACCTAAAAAGAGAGGCCAGCAGACCATAAATGCAGGTATCTAAAGTGGCATTAAAGTAGGGCCTTGAGTGATAACTCATATACCATCTTTGTTATTTCCTGGGAATGTGAGTGGACAGGTCCGTCTGTCCGTCCGTCCATCTATATCTTGGTCTGATTGCTTATTGATTGATTGATTGATTGGGACAAGTACTTGTTGTGTGGTCCTGGCTAGCCTTGAACTCAGAGTACGTCATCAAGCCCCATGAGTGGGCAGAGTTCTAACTGCCCTTTTTGTTCTCCTCAGGTTCCTGGGTAGAACTGCACTTCAGCAATGGGAATGGGAGCAGCGTTCCAGCCTCTGTCTCTATTTATAATGGTGACATGGAAAAAATACTGTTGGATGCCCAGCATGAATCTGGACGAAGTAGCTCCAAGAGTTCTCACTGTGACAGGTAGGTTTTCTGGGTATCTCTTAAAGTGTTGATGTACCTAGTAGATGGATAATCACAATTGTGCATGTTTTTGTGGGTGGGTTTCCAGGTCTGAGGCCACATTTGGGAGTAACTCCATTATACCAGGAACCCTGGAGTCTGCTGTGAGGAAGTGATCTGGGGCTCAAGTCTGGAGGGACTTTATTAAACCTAGAGACAAATAACAAAGTCTGTCCCCTTTTTGAAACTGTTCACTGTGAACACCACAGTGTCTGAGCAGTTTTGTTCATGCTCCCAGCTGGCTTCTGTTCCTAGGCAGCACTACTAGGGAGTGAATCCAAGGTGTATGGCTGAGAGTCAGTGATCAAAGGTCAGATGCTTCCAAGGGCTATGCTACTGATCATGCAGGAGGGTGGGGCTTCCCTAGAGAAATGTCTAGCTGGCTCCTATGTGCTCAGCTCAGAAGACTAAAGAATTGCTTGGCACTGGTCTGGTGATAGACAAAAGGGAAGAGACATGCTTTGGAGAGTTCTCTACCATCCCCTTAATGAGGTAAGAGCCCCTGCTTGGAATTTATGCTTCTTATGACACAATTGACATGCTGCTCCATTTTATCCGTTTCTTAATCAAGCCCACCCCGTTCCCAGACACCACAAGATACCAACAGAGCTGAAATAGACACCCACAGCTTTGGCGAGAAAAACAGCACTCTGGTAAGCCATAGATAGGAACATGCTGTAAGGCTCAGCACATGATTAGTCTCGTGGCTTCTATACTTGCAACATATGCGAGTCTTTGCTCTCTCTTAGTTTTTGAGGAAGGTGTCTCATTGAATATGGAGCTCACCAATTTGGATAGATCAACTGGCTAGTTAGTGAGCTCCAGTGATCCTCTTCCCTCTGCCTTCCAGGCCTGGGATTACAGAAGTGACCCACTGTACCCGGCGTTTTACATGAGTGTTGGATCTGTGTTTTTTAAAGTTTTTATTTATGTTTATGTGTGTGTTTGTTTGAGAGAATGCCATTATGTATAGAGGCATTTTAAACCCCACTTTGTTTTTTATTTAGATAGGGAATCCCTATTTACCCTGTCTAGCCTGGAACTTTATATATATATATTTTGACCAGGCTGGTCTTGAACTCACAGGAAGCTACCTGCCTCTACCCCCTGAGTGCTGTGATTAATGATGTGCGCCAACTTGTCCACTGGTGTTGGGGCTCTGAACTGAGGGTCCTAATGCTTGTGCAGCAAGCACTTCATTTACTGAGCCATCTTCCCATCCACCGCTTTCCCTTTTTAATAGAATTTCTAAAAATTTTAAATTGTATGTGTATGTGTCTGTATGGTATGTGCACATGAGTCCAGGTGTCCAGAAGCCAAAGGCATTGGATCCTCTGGAACTAGAGTTATGGGCAGCAGTCCTCCAACAGGTCCGGGTTCTGGGAACTGAATTTGGATTCTCTGAAAGAGCAGCAAGTATTCTTAACCACTGGGCCATCTCTCCAATCCTAGACAGCTCATTTTAAAAAAAAACGTCTTTTAGAAATTAATTAATTGAGGAATCTACTTTGCTAGTGCTGAGGTGGTTACAAATATGTACCGCTACACCTGGCTGATGCAGTGAGTGTGGGGATAAGGCCCAGGACCTTGTGCATGCTGGCCGAGCATTCTGTAAACTGAGCTATACCCCAGTCCATGAGCTCACTTTTCTAATATTAACTCAGTAGAAACTAAAGAGCACCTTTAGCATTGTGAGATCAGAGCCTGTCTTAGTCAGTGTTCTATTGCTGTGAAGAGATACCATGGCCACAGTAGCTCTTAAAGAAAGCATTTAATTGGGACTTGTTTATAGTTTCAGAGGTTTAGTCCATTCTCATCATGGTAGGAAACATGGCAGACATGGTACTGGGGAAGGAGCTGAAAGTTAGTTCTACGTCTGGATTTGTAGGCATCAGGAAGAGGGAGAGCTTGGTTTGGTTTTGAAACCTCTAAGCCCATACACCAAATGAGACACTTCCTCCAAGGCCACACATCCTAATTCCTCCCAAGTAGTGGCATTTCTAGGTGACTAAGTATCAAAACATTTAAGTCTCTGGGGCCCATTCTGTGATTTATCTATAGGGACCTATCAAGGGCTCCAAACAGTGTCCCTATCTGCCACTGACACATCAAGTATCTTCGGTCTTCTAGATCATATTGTCCAAGAGATAGAGCAGCCTGGACCTGTTGAAGAGCCTTCTCCTGCTGCAGGCTCCCCTCAAAGCTGGGCCAGAGTAACCATATACCCAAGAGACAAATGTGCCATTTCCAGAATTCTAATAGGCCTGCTAAACATTGTGTTCTTGGTGCTGGGAGGGGCCAGGTACAGTTTCACCTTAGAAGGAATATCTCAAATACATCATACCACTGGACTTATACTTCACTGATGTAGAAAACCCTTGAATTTTAGATTTATTTCCCATTCTCAGATGCACCTATATGTTACAAGTCCAAAGTAGTTACTTACCACCTCCTACTCACTTCATCCAGTCAGCATAATGTCATCAGTATAGGGAATCAGTGTGCTATTCTGTAGAAGAGACAGATGATCAAGATCCCTTCAAATGAAGTCTGTTATTGGGCCTTAGTGGAAACTGAATATTTGAGAATGGGCCACCAAGTTTCCATGTGACCCAAGCTGCCTATCATGAGCTGAGTGTTATCTGACCCATCAAGTGATTGTGCATAGAAACAATCCACTATCAAATGGAAGTGCTATCTATATGTGTGATCAGGTCCAAGTAAGTCCTGAAAGCACAAGCAAGTTACATGAAGAAGCTGCCAAATAAATGCCAATGGTTTCTACTCCTATTACAATACCATCTGCTGTCAAGCATGCACATATAGCCCTATGGGGTAGCCTTATTATTGGTTGACGGAGCAAGAGAGTAGGTCCTGGTTTACTGATCCAGAACCATCCAGAAGTGGACAGCTTCCACTTTCTGAGACAACTCTGAAAGACACACCAACTAAGAAAAATCTTTACAGTGAGCAGAACTTAGGGCAGTACACATGGTCATAACATTTTATTTTGAAGAAGAAATGGACATAGAATGTGGGACTGTTCACTGATTCAGGAGCTGTAGCTAAATAGATTGGCTGGATAGTCAGGGATTTGGAAAGAGCATGACTTGAAGATTGGTGAGAAAGAAATCTGGGGAAGAAGTATGTGAATTGATCTCTGCAAATGGTCAAAGGATGCGAAGATCCTTGTCTTGTGTAAAGCTCATCAAAAGGTGACTTCTGCTGAAGAATGCAGTAGATAGGATGACCCATTCTGTGGAGAGTCAGCCTCTGCTCCCAGCCATAGCCATCCGTGTCACTGCCCAGTGGGGCTGTGAACAAAATGGCCATGGTAGAAGAGATAGGAGTTATGTGTGAGCTCAACAACATGAACTGCTATTCACCAAGGCTCATCTGGCTACAGCTGCTGCTGGGTGGCAGATTTGCCAACAGCAGAGGCTAACAAGCCCCAGATACTACACTGTTCTCTAGGGTGGCCATCCAGTGACCTAGTGGCAGGTTGACTATATTGAACTTCTTTCTTCATAGAAAGGACAGTGCTTTGTCCTTACTGGAGTAGATATTTATTCTAATTATTGATCTGTCTTAACTGTACATAATGCTTCTGCCAAAACCACCATCATCTATGGATGTACAGACTTCCTTATCCACTGTATTCTACATATTGCTTATGACCATGAAACTCACTTCACAGCCAGACAAGTGTGAAAGTAGACCCATGATCATGGAATCCACTGGTATTACCATGTTCCCAACCATCATGAAGCAGCTGGCCTGAAAGAAAGGTGGTATAAACTTTTGAAGACACAGTGCCAATTAGGCATCAGTAGCCTGGAGGGCTGGTACAAGGTTCCCTAGAAAGTGGTATACTCTTTAAAACAGCATTCGATATATGGTACAGTTTCTCTCATAACTAGGATCCATGGGTTCAAGAATCAAGGGGTAGAAAAAGGAATAGCTCCCAATATCACCCCTAGGAAATTATTTGCTTCCTGTTCTTGTGACCTTTTCTGCTGGCCTAAAAAGTGTGTGTGTGTGTGTGTGTGTGTGTGTGTGTGTGTGTTTTAGGGGATTTGGATGGGGGAACTTAAGCCAGGAGACCAAACAACCATTCCATTGGACTGAAAGCTCAATTTCTGATGCCCTTTAATGAACAGGCTAAGAAAGGAATAACAATTTTAAGATAGTGATTGATCCAGATTACCAAGGGACAATTGGGCTAGTTCACAATGGAAGTAAGAAAGATTATGTCTGGGGTCCAGGAGATCCTTTAGGGTGTCTTTTGGTGCTACCATGTCCTGTGATTAAAGTCAGTGGGAAACTCCATCAATTAATCTAGGTAGGATGACAAAGGGCACAGATTGTTCAGGAATGAAGGTGTGGGTAACTTCCCTCAGGAAAGGAACCAAGGCCTACTGAAGTGCTTGCTGAAAGTAGAGGAAATATATACAGAATGAGTAGTAGAAGAAGGCAATTATAAATATCAGCTGCTAGGGTCATGTGACCAGTTATACAAACGAGGGTTGTAATTGTGGAGTGTTTTTGTTGCATTTTGTTAAAAATGTGTTTATACAGATTTGTGTTTCCTTTACCCAATTTATCATGTAATGTGACATCAGTTAAGAGACTATCAATGGATATCATATTTTAGTTTGAGGTATTAAAAGAATATCCCTGAAGGGACATTACCACCTAAATGTCTTAATTTGTAATGCATTTACAGTTGTAGGAGAGTTAATATCATGTCAGGTGGGGTTCTCTGTTGGGCTTACTGACCTTATCTCTAGTGTGAATGTGGAAAGCTCACCTGCTTTACTTAATATTTACTTTTCCTTAGTCAGAGGAAGATTATATTGAGAGAAGAAGAGAAGTTGAAAGTATCTTGAAGAAAAACTCAGATTGGATATGGGATTGGTCAAGTCGGCCAGAAAATATTCCCCCCAAGTAAGTCCGTTTGCAATATTCTTGGGTAAGATTTTTCCTTTGACAAGGGGACACTGATTGGCAGTTTCTTTCCACCCCAGGGAGTTCCTTTTTAAACACCCAAAGCGCACAGCTACTCTCAGCATGAGAAACACAAGTGTTATGAAGAAAGGGGGCATTTTCTCAGCAGACTTTCTGAAGGTTTTCCTTCCATCTCTATTACTGTCTCATCTGCTGGCCATCGGCTTGGGGTAAGTGATGTTTCTATGAGAATATGGATACCCTAGGACAGGGTGGACCTTGGTGATTCTAGGCCCCAGGAATTTATTTCTATATTGTTTATGGAAAGAGGTTGGTGCATTTTCACAAACTTATTCCAAAGTCATTGTTAGATCAAGTACAAATCTTGTGCTGTGGAAGGTCCTTTCGTCTTTATCCACCATGTCTTGCACAGGGGTTCTCATGACAGGCCTCTTTCTTGTGCCACCTCTACAGTGGATAGATGATCCTGTCCCTTAGCAGTAATGGAATAATTAAGGCCTTCAGGTTTCTGCTTTTGTATCTAATTTAGACTAAAACAGGCCAGGGAGTATAGCTATGGATTCTTTAGATCGTACCAGTGCTAAAAGAGCAGGTTACCAAAAGGACACTAGAGACTGGGAGTCCTGTATTCTTTGCTGGCCTCACAGGGATGAGATTGGGTTTCAGATCTTCCTATGTCTACCTCCTGAGTGCTGAGATTACAGATGTAATCTGCAAAACCCTCTGTCCATGTCAGGGTGAGCTCACCCTCCATATGAAGACAGTGTTGTGTGGCTGCAGTCTATTGGAGTGGCTGGGATGGCACTGTGGGCTTCTGGCCTATGTTAGTTGGGGATATGTTTGGGGCAGAAGGCTTTGTAATCTGCTTATTCTTTTCTCCAAAAGCTGTTCACATGGCTAACGCCCAGTCTGTTCCATGTTGATTTCTTGGGATTTTGTGGGTCTTATAGGTACATCCTAGTCCTTGTTGCCCTTAACTTCCTGCACTGTAGACCCTCAATGTACCTATAGAGCTGCCTGCAGAAATGAAATGGCTGCCTGGGTGCCAGAGGCTCCTTTTAGCTTGCTGGGTGGAGCCCTCCCTGCCTGCCTTCACCACTCCTCCATGTGTGGTTCCCTCCTGGCGCTTGGTCTTACGGACAGGTGCATCCTCATCACCTGGGACTTCTTTCTCAGAACTAGCAAGCAGAAGGGTTCAGTGGCAATTGAGAACATAGGCAGGGGAATCTCTGGATTATAGGCAGTCTTTTTATCAAGACCTGGTCTCAAAACACAAAATAGAACAGAACCAGCAAGGGGAAAACCTGTGGAGGACCTAGGAATCTGTGTTCAGTACCAAAGCTGAGTTTTCCCTTCAGGGAATCATTTCTGGATCTAGTCCTACCTGCTGTCTTTGTCCTTCATCCTTTCCAGGTGGAGAACTTGGTGACGCCATCCCACCCAAGATCTCTTGGCAACTTCCAGTCTTTGATGAACACTACCCTCTTTAGTTCAGATAGCTCACACTCACTGCCTAGTCTTATTTCTTCCCAGTCCACACAGACCTGGCCAGGGAGAATTCTTTCCTGTTTCCTTTCTTAGAGATTGTCATTTCCCTTGTTACCTCATTGCAGAGAAGGGAGGCTTCATTACTTACTCCTTGGTTGGGCTTTGAGGTTAGTGGTAATGAACTGTGTGGCTCATTTGATACACAGAAGGGAATGCAAAGCTGTATAGTGATAGGATGTGGGTTTGGTTTATACTTAGATTTGAATCTGGGATTGTACTGGTAGACAGGTACTCCATAATTCAACTCCTGTTGTTACTATATTAGTATCTTTTTTTTTTTTGTACATTCAGTCTCTTGCACTATTAGAATAATTGAAACAATTGAAATTAAATTTTAAGTAAGAAAAATTAAACCAATATGATAAACATATTAGATGACTAAGAACACTTGATAAAGATTGCAGATAGTCGGGCTGGAGAGATGGCTCAGTGGTTAGAAGCACTGCTTGCTCTTCTGGAGGACTTGGGTTTAATTCCCAGCACCTACATGGCAGCTTACAACTGTGTAACTCCAGTTCCAGTGGATCTGACACCTGCACACAGACATACATGTAGGCAAAACACCAGTGTACATAAAAATAATAAAATAAAATCATAAAAAAAGAGAAGAGATTACAGTCATACTTTATCAAGTATAAGATGGCTAGTTCCCTTCCTGAAGATGTAACCGTGGTGGCCTGGCCTGTTTGAGCTATGTAAAGTCACCTGAGAATTGTGAGACCTGACCGCCATTCCTTTTCTGTCTAGGATTTACATTGGAAGGCGTCTGACAACTTCCACTAGCACCTTCTGATGAAGATTTGGATCTGACTTCTGTTCATACAGTGAGGATTCATGTCTGAGCTGTGACAGCTAATTGAAGAGCTAGCATGATCCTTGGGTGTCTGCACTATGTGTGTTTATTTGTTCTGTAAATGCGGTGTTCCTGATTTAGTGAGACAGAATAGACTCTTATCATGACCTATAATTATACCTATGGGATCAATTAATAAGCATGTCAGACTGATGCCTATTGTAGCATTTACTAGTAAATTTCTTTGAATATTAGATATAAATAGTATAAATAATTTTAATATTGTAGCAATGGTGTATTTAAAAATGATCTGTAATTGTAATCCAGTTAAGACACTTTACACTTCAAAAGAATAAGTAAGTGATATTTAAATCATTAAAGGGTTTTTCCCAAAGGAATATTGTGGCCTTATAATCCTATTACATAGTAGAAAATTAAAGGGTGCGGGTTATCTGTAAAGGCCTCTTACTTTGTGAATCAAGTAGCAAGTAGAAGCTAAGGTTACCCACAAACCCCACTTTGCAGTTTCCCCTCTTCTTGCTTTGCAGGATGAGGATTCTAGCCTTGCTGTCCACCATTACCTTGGGTGGCCAGTTTTGTTGCAGGCACCTTTATCACTCTGCTGGATTAAATTCCACTGTTTGTACTTAAATTTTGTGTGCTTTTAAAATCAGCTATATTGTAAGCAAATCTGTCTACTTTAAAAGACTGGAAATGAAAAACAAAATCTTTGCCAAATCCTTTGGAGAATACTGGATTTGCATATGCATCAATCAGTATCCAAAGCTTCTGTTAAATCGGATGTCCTCCCAGTCTTCTCTTTTCTATAGCATGGTTTTAAAGCCTGCCTCCTTGACATGCTGTATAGATTCTGTTGTGTTTGTTTCACTGTCCCACACTTAACTCAGGTGTGCTAAAATAAAAGTAACATTTTAACAGCCTTTTGTTTATATTTACATGATTACTGGACATAGTTATATCTTTAATTTGGAGCAAGATCCTACAGGATGTAATAGTGAAAAACAGGTGTTTTCTTGCTTCAGTAAAATGTTTTTGTAAGGGAATGCCCTATAAAATTAGGTCAGATATATTGATACTGAGCAAAAAAGCAAGTGAAGGGTAATAAAAGCCTAATCTTTTTACCTGAGTACAAAGAAGTCAGGCTGGAGTAGGCTGCTTGAAGAAGCCTGATGGTGGAAGCTGGATGGTTGAAAGCAGCTGATGAAATGAACCCAGCTAGCTCTGCTCCAGGCAGCCCCCACACACAGACACTAAACACTAGATTCTACACTTAGTATCATACTCTAATGAGGAAAAAGAAAGATGTTCTTATCTTTTCCCCATGAAATGCTCAATCAGAAATAGAAGCTGTATCCTGAAGAAGCTGGCATGTCTGTGAACTGCCAGTTTGGTGCTGAGGCCACCTCAGGGTTTTTTGTTTTGTTGTTTTGTTTTTATGTTTCACTTTGTTTTGTTTTTTTGCGCAAAACATATAATTGTAATTTAATCATTAAACAAAATAGACAAGGCTAAATTGTCTATGAAATAGTTGTCCACAGACTTCAGAGTCGTCAAGGTCATGAGAGACAGACTGGCAGACAAGAGGAGATAATGCAGTGTGTTCCTAGACACAAGACATTTAACAACCAGTAAGACCTGAGCTGTGTGGTTCGTGTGAGATAGCGTTCCACCAACACCATGGAAGCTGAATGTTCTGATGACTGTTTAAGACAAAGTAAATGGAACCTTTTACTCACAGTGGTCCTGGGCCAGCAGCAGCAGAACTGCCAGGGACATTTCTGGAAATATAGATTCTGGGGCATATGCTCTGGTCTGAGCTGTGTCCTGAGCTGCTGTGGAGAGTGGAGAAGCTCTGTGAAGTGACAGGTAGAGCTACCCTCTACATAAAACGGTTGTTTAAAAAATCCAAAGCACATTCAAGAAAGAAACAATTACAAGGTCAGAAGTAGGACAAGACCGTTACCAAACTCCTTTGAAGACCTCCAAAGTCTATACAGTATTTGTTGCCAGTTTAAAACTTAAAAACTGTCAGGTGGTAGTGTCCCACACCTTTAATCTCAGCATTTAGGAGGCAAGGGCAGGCTGATCTACATAGTTCCAGGGCAGTAAGGGTTACACAGAGAAACCCTGTCTCAAAAACCAACCCAAACCAAAAAAATCCCCATCCCAAAACAACAACCAAGTAACCAAACAAAAAGCACATCTTTGCCAGCTGTGGTGGCACCTGCCTGTAATCCCAGTTCTTGGGCTGTGTAGGTAGAAGGATCACAAGTTCAAGCCAGCTGTGGGAAGCACAGCAAGATAAAACAAGGTCTAGGGTGTTAGCTCATCTAGCAGAGTACACAACTGGCAGTCACGAAGCCCTGGGTTTGATTCCCAGCACCGCATAAACCAGGTGTTGACACTCAGGAAGTTCACAGTCATACTTGCTTTACATAGTGAGTGTGAGGCTGGCCTGGGATAAAGGACTGTAAAAGGGTTTGAGACACACAGGGTCTCTCTGTGTAGTCTTGGCTGTCTTGGAACTTACTATGTAGATAAGGCTAACCACAAATTCAGAGATCTGCTTGCATCTCAGAGCATTGGGATTAAAGGTTTGTGCCACAATATCCAGCCATCCTATTCCCCCTCTATATTTTTGAGACAAGATTTCATTGTATACCATGCTGACATCAAACTCACTGTGATCCTCTTGCCTCAGCTTACCAAGTAGAGGCTTGCATTACAACACCTGATTCAGCCAAAAACCTGGAAATAAGCATCATTGTAATAGTGGAATTGGGCCAAGACATAGGGCCATTGTACAGTGCCCTCCAGTCACAAGAGCCAGGAGTTATGCTCCTCAAGCCACGGCATGAGGTCTGAGTGGTGGGACAGAGTTCTGTGCCTATACATCTTAACACCTGAAATGTGCAAGACTTGAAGTCAGAACACAAGCTTTGCAAAATCAAAACTTTAAAAATGTATATGCAAACTGAACAAGCTGCCTTCAGTCACTCATCAGCTCAGGATTGCCACCAAAGTCTCATTTCACTTACTTAGCTATCAAAACAGCTACAAAACTGAAGAGTTAAAAAACTTAAGAATAATGCTCCTGGGCTGGAGAGATGGCTCAGCGGACTGTTCTTCCAGAGTTCTTGAGTTCAATTTCCAGCAACCACATGGTGGTGGCTCACAACCATCTGTAATGTGATCTGATGCCCTCCTCTGGTGTGTCTGAAGAGAGCTATGGTGTACTCATATACATAAATAAATCTTTAAAAAAAATAATACTCCTGCACACCAAGACTTTGATTTTCACCATAACACTTTTCACCTCTTTTAGGAGTTTTATCCCATCAGTCTGATAGTGCAGGTCCTGTCTGCTATGGGCAAATTTAGGTACCAGTGTCCATTTTTGAAGTGTTAAGTTTTTTACTTGAATAATTTACATAAAATCATTGTGCAGGACCACTTTGGGGAGAGCTCCAGACCACACTGACTCTTTCCTGGAGAGAGTACCGTTCTTTTGACCATTTCCTTGCTGCTTTGCCTCAAAATTCTTCTGGTCCTCTGAGTGACACATGCGTTTACTCAGAAAATGTGGGACTTGAGGCAGAACTGGTGATAAAATGACAGGCAGCAGCAGGCAGACTGGGTGGGAATGACAGAAGTGTTTTTTGTTTTTGAGACACAGTCTCTATGTAGTCCAGGCTATCCTAGAACTTGCTATGTAGACCAAGCTGACCTCTTAACTGCCTGCATGCCAGTCCCTACAAATGCTGCTGAGCCCCTAGAAATGCAGCTACCTGCACCACCATGCCCCAGTGTGGCTTGCCAGACAGCTTCCCTCACCCCCAGGATGGAACCTTGGCCTGTTTGCTTCCCTAGCCAGCACCCTGCCATGCTGCATGCAGAGAACACTCAGCACCCTTGGGTATTTTCTCTATCTGCAAAGTCCAAGGATTAGCAGTTACACCTCACATTAACTTGCATAAGAACCTGACTCTTCAGACTTTAAAAGCATGGCAGTTGGGACAGGGTATAACAGTACTGGCCTAAAACGGGTGTCAGACACACAGCAGGTACCCATCATTCATCCAGTGGGTCACTGTGGGCAGGGCTCTCACTGGAGGCCCTCAGTTAAGAAGAGTAGTGTGACTTCTGGCTAGAAGCCAGTTGCCACACAGTTCCGTACAGGAAGACTTTCCAGATATGGTAGCTGGGCCAGGACCCAAGAATAATAGCAGAGAACAGCCTCAGGTACCCACCTTCCCTCCACTTTCAACAGCAAGGGAAACTGTCCCAGGACCAACCATAAGAATCGTTTCCACTTGGTATCTGTTTTACTGCAACTGATGAATGCAACTATCAATGTCTCGTCAGATGGCATGACTGATGCGTAACTGCATCACAGAAGCACAACTTTAGTTCTTTTCTCAAGAAGGGTTTCTCTGGCTGGACTCAAAATTCAGAGATTCACTTACTTCTGCCTTCTAAGTGCTGGGATTAAAGGGGTGCAACACCAGCACCCAGCAGAAAAAAATATAATTAAAAACCTTTAAAAAGATTTTAGTTTTTATGTATGAGTGATTAGCTTGAGTTTATGTATGTGTATATGCATACCTAGTACATCCAAGACACTGAATCCCCTGGAATTGGGAGTTACAGCAGGTTGTGAGCCACATGTGGGTTCTGGGAAGTAAATCAAGGTTCTCTGCAGGAGAAGCAGGTGCTCTTAACTGCTGACTCATCTCTTCAGCCCTTCTTTTAATTTTTTAAATTAAAAAATCAAAACAAACAAACAAAACAAACCCCTGAGATAGGGTCTCACTTTGTAGTCCTGGTTGGAACTCAAGAGATTCAGTAGTTTCTGCCTCTTTTGTGCTGGGATCCACGGTATGTCACCATGCTTAGGTCCTCCAACCCTCAGGGTCTCAAGTAGCCAAAGTTGGCTTAACTTATCATGTATCAGTGGATAAGCTTGTACTTCTGCGCCTCCTCTCAAGTATGTGGATTGCATGCAATCAGGCAAAAATACATGTTTAAATTCAAATATATAGGGTAGTTGTGGTACACATCTTTGATCCTGGAGGCAGGATCTCATGAGTTTGAGGCCAACATAGGCTATACAGAGTTCCAGGCTAGCTAGGGCTAGGCAGTGAGACCCTGTATCAAAATAAAAAATGCTACATGTATGCCAAACTCAGTGGTGCACTTGGGAGGGAGAAACAGTTAAGACTGCTGTATTTGATGTCAGCCTGCTCCACAGTGATGAGTTCCAGGACAGTGCCACATAATAAGACTTGTCATCCACTCCAAAACAAAATTCACATGCTTTTTCTAGGTCCTCAGCCCAGAAGCAGAGCAATAAAACATTTGACAGAAACTGGTATCTTAAATGGAACATTTTGGAGAAAGAAATGTTAGCCATTCCAAATTTGAATACAAAGAACAAGACCAATTTAAAATTTGTAACTATAGGATTCTTACCTTTTTGGGTTTTTTTTTTTTTTTGAGACAGGGTTTCTCTGTGTAGCCCAGGCTGTCCTGGAACTCACTCTGTAGACCAGGCTGGCCTTGAACTCAGAAATCTGCCTGCCTCTGTCTTCCAAGTGCTGGGATTAAAGGCGTGCGCCACCACTGCCCAGCTAGGATTCTTACCTTAAGCTAGACATGGTGACATGTCTCTGGGAGACTGAAGAAGATGCCAGCCTGGGATACAACAGTGAGAATCTTGCACTGAAACAAAACCAGCCTTCAGTGTCAATTTGTCAGAAGCCTTTTTAGCCAACACTGGTAACTGCCATCAAGAGCACCTGTTATCTACACCACAGCAATGCACAGCTGTCTAAAAAGACTCTGCAGGCTCAGTCCTGTGATGGAGAGACAGCACCTGCTGTAATCCAAGGGGACAGCTGAGCTCACAGAACAAACCTACAAGCTCACCTACTCTGCCTCCTCTACAAGTGGCCAGCAGGCTTTGCTGGGAAAAATTTTAAAGATGGAAAATGTTGTCCAAATACTCAGTGTAAATCCAGTTAAACATCAATGTATTGAACTTTTTGGGCAGAACAGAGGCACAGGAACAGTCCTGCTACATTAGGATTGGGTTTCCTGGGGCACCAGGGCTGATGCTTGTGTAACTTGTCTCTGACACTGTAAGCTGCCACAATCAAGAGCTAAAGTATATTTTTTTGTCACTATGTAGTCCTGACTGTTCTCGAACTATGACCAGGCTCGCCTCAAACTCGAGATCTGCTTGTTTTAGCCTCCCTAGTGCTGGGATTAAAGCATGTGCTACTATACCAAGCTAGTTTTATTCTTTCTTTTGAGCAGGGTCTCTCACTATGTAGCCTTGGCTGGCCTGGAAACCACCAATGTGTCTGCTCTTGCTTCCTGTTTGTTAGGATTAGTGGCATGTGCGTGCAACCATGCCTGGCAGAGTGTGAGTCCTTTTAAGTAAGTCCTCTGTTTCTAATTAGTGTGAACTGAGGTGGGTGGCATCAGTTAGTTCCTGTGATGGTGAGGTATGTTGCCCTTGTAGATGCCTTGGCAGTCACCAGTACACCTTCCCATTTCAGCAGGCTCGGGCTCTGCCCTGCAGTAGCTCATTAGCTGAATCCCATGGAAACATTCTCTGTGTAGCCCAAGCTGCCCTAGAATTCACAGATCCATCTGCCTACCAAGGCTTAACCAAGTGTTGGTACTTTTACCTTTTTTTCCTTTCTCTTTTAAATGTTTATATTTCTAGTCAGGAAATCTTGACCCCTGATATCCAAGGTGTTTTAAAATGAGCCATAGGTACAGGTAGTATCATATAGCCTAAGTACAGTTGTTGAGTTCTGCTGATTGAGGTACAATATGAAATCTAGCATGCATATAATTTTAGCAGTATTTTAAAAGTATTTTTAAAAAGAAAGTCTGTGCACATGAGTTGTGGCGACTCTGGGCCCTACTTTAAGCTAGGTGTTAATCTGAGAGCTGCACTTCTGTTGCTCTTTCATGTACATTTCTTTTTCAGAGGTTGACACAATTTTGGCTTTCCCAGATGGAGTCACTACAAGAAACCAAGTGGCAATTTGGGATAGTTACATTTAGAATCTGAAGTTCTGTACAAACTCAACCATTCTCCTAAAGGAAAAAAGTTTTCAATTTATTCCAAAGTATAAATATCCTGAATAATTTCATTCTGTGCAACTGAAACAAATAAAGACTGCAGTGGCATTTGGGTTTAAAAACACTTCACAGTGTGTTGTGTTTATTAAGTAGCTCCACAGAAGGTGTGATGGCAGGTGCAGTGGGTGAGTAGAGCTGCCTGAGCCTGCTCGGGCGTATCCATGCACCACGCACCAGCGGTGGGTGATGCAGCCCACTGGCCAGAGAGGAACGTGGGTGGTGGCTACACCATGTCCAGGATAAGGCCCAGGGATGGATGGCAGAGACAGAGGGAAGAGCTGGAGAGAGATTTGATGAGACTTTTTTTTTTTCTCTCTCAGATGTTAGTTTTTTGGTCTATAAACTGTAAAGGAAGGCTCAGACTTAAATAAATACATTTGAGTAATGGCCTTTATTGAGCAGAGTCCACCAATTCAGCTTCGAGTAGGTTTTCCCTTCAGCAGCGGCACTCATCTCTCCCAAGACTCCAGCTGAGACCCCTTCTTCTCCTGTGTCTATGAGGGAAGTAGAAGTGCATCACTATTCTCAATGGAGAGGACAATGCCTTTTTTTGACAGGAAAACGACCGGCTTAGGTATGCAAGACAACACTTGGTCCTCCAGTCAGTTTCCTTAATTAATTTTGTCCTGGAATATATACAAGTTATTGGTGGCAGCTACAGCAATGATGCTCTCCATGGGGTGCCAGGCTGTGTGCAGGATCTTCTTATTGAAGTCCAAACTGTCCACGCTTATCTCGTCTTTCTTTCTCTTACCCCCTGTACAGACTTTCCGTGGCTTCAGGCTGGCTCGGGGTTTGCTGTTCTCTCTTGAGGCTTCCAGTGTAACATCCTTCCGAGTGTTTCTATCAAACATTCTAAAGAAGTTGTTGTAGGACCCCGTCATAATGGCACTGTTCAGAGAAAAAAGAGGGGACACTGAGTACACAGCAGTATCATGGCAATGGCATGAACCAGGGTAATGGCATCAAGTCTGGACTCTCTACAGGCCCCAATTTCTACATTATCAGGAAAGAAATGTAATACAGATTCTCCAGTGAACTTCACTTATTTTCATGTCCAAGAAAAGTAATGGATCCATAATTTAAGTCCTTGATCACCAAGGCCAGAAGAGTGTGTCGGATCCCCTGCAATGTGTCTTACAGGTGATAGTAAGCTAAGACATGGGGGCGAGAACAGAAATCCTTCATCTCTCTTGTCTAATGTATAGAAGAGGGAAGAGGAAAGTCTCCTATCTAATGTATAGAAGAGGGAAGAGGAGAGAAAGGAGAGGCAGACAGTGGTGGAGGAATAGAAAGTAGAAGGAGCAGGGGGTAGTGGGAAGAAAGGAGGGATGAGGAAGAAAGAAGAAAACTCTGTCCAAGTCACTTTTACTCTAGCACTTGGGAGGCAGAGGTAGGAAGAGCTCTGTGAGTTTGAGGCCAGCCTGATCTACATAGTGAATTTCAAGACACCTAGGTCTATGTAATAGAGATCCTGTCTCAAAAAAGCAACCCTCCCCCCAACAAATCCTTCTCTGTCTTAGTCATAAACTGACAGTTTACCATAAGCCTGACCTCATTAACAATTAAGTCAAAACTGGTTATAGTCTAGTCACATTTCCCAACAGAGGTTAACTCAAGTTATTAAATGATGTGATTAATCTCTAAGTTTCTTTCAAAGCTAGGTACAATGGAGGTGCACATCTGTAATTCCAACATCAAGACAGCTAAAGCAGGAGGCTACCACAATTTGATCCACGACTTTGTAAGGGGTCATTTTTATTTTCTGTATGTTGGATTGTGTATGCGGTTGCAAGATGATTCTAGTATTGGGATTATAGGCAGCTGCCATACACTGAGGACCCCCCACGCCCATTTTGTTTTGTGTTTAGAAACAAGATTTCATATAGCATAGGTTGGCCTCAAACTTGATATATACCAGAGGATAACCCCAGACTCCTGATTTTCCTATAAGTACAGGGAACATGCCTATTTATACAGCAAGTTACAGGTCAGCTTGGGCTACAAAATATGTAATGCTGTTTCAAAACAAAACCAAAAACAAAAACAAAAAAAACACACAAAAAAAAAAAACAAAGCAAAAAAAAAAGACATTCCATGTGGCCCTTTGACTTCTCTGGCAAGTGAAGACCAACCAACCTCTTCTGTCCTCTCCTTGGAAACCCTCCAACTCTTCCTGGCCTCCATGCTCTTGCTGTCCCACAGCTGCATGGCTAGTGGTCTTTACAAAGCCAAAGTCCTTCAAGTTACTACACTGCTCAGGGCTCTTCCTAGCTGCCTGTATATATTTTATCATCTGGTTAAGCTTACCTCAAACTCCATACCAAATAAACTTAGAAAAACCTTGTTATTCTTGTTCATTCAAATCTGTTGATGTGTCAGGTTTCTGTTTTCTTGTCTTTATGTGCCAAATCTTCCCAACATACTGATGTTAGCACAGTGCACAGGAGGCCAGGCAGTACCACTGGCCTCACTCCTCATCACTGTATTTTCCACTGTTCATTCCCACTTGTGGTCTCTGTCCTTTCTAAAATGAACTAGCAGTCAGCATCATCATTTCCCGAGGCAGGTTCTTATTGTGTGTAGCTCTAACTGACCTAGAACTCACCTTGTAAATCAGTGCGACTCTGAATTCAAGAGATGCACCTGTCTTTGTCTCTTAATTGGTTAAGATTAAAAGTATGTACACACCTGGTAGCCACTCTCTCTTAAACTTATAATTCGTATATTATGGACATTTATCTCCATGGTTACCCCTGGACGCCATTGGTTGATCTCATATCCTTTACTCAATCACTCCATTAAAAAAACATTTTACATGTGTGGGTGTTTTGCCTTTGAGTACACCTGTGCGCCAATTGAGGCCAGAGGAGAGCTTCATTCACATCTCCCTAGAAATGAACCCTGTTCTTCTGGAAAAAGAAATAGTATTTTTAACTGCTCTGTAAATTCACCAGCTCCTCCATCCACCTTAGGTTTTTCCTTCAGGCAGGGTCTCTCACTAAATGTGGCACTCACTGATTTGGCTGGGCCTGCCAGAAGCCAATGAAGCCCAGTAATTTTCCCACTGTTGGGATTACAGCTGTGCACTGCCATACCTGGCTTTTAGGTGGATTCTGGAGCTACACACTCAGGTCCTCATGTTTGCATGGTAAACATATTCCCCCCCCCCCGCCCTTCTTTTCAGAGTCAGGAATTCTCTCTGTAGCCCTGGCTGTATTCTGGGTAACTTCTGATCTTCCTTGCAGCTCATTAATCTCTAGTTAGACTTGGATCAGCTGTATCTTTTATTTCTAAAAGTTGTGTTAGAACTTCTTAGAACATTTTATTAGTCTTATGGTTCTCTGATCAGCTTTTTGGTTCTGTCCTTTAATTAGTAACTATTCTAAGTATTCTTATTTTATAATCTGTTACTTACTACATTTGAACTCTTACAATGTTATGCCAGGTATGGTAATTCCATACCTTCTAATTCTAGCACTCAGGAGGCTGAGGTAAAAGGATTTTGAGTTCAAGACTTTCCAAAGATACAAACCAAGAGTCTGTGCCAAAAATAAAAAGGACTGAGGATATACAGATATAACTTTGTTGGTAGAATGTTTGTCTAGAATGAATGCATGAAACCCTGGGCTGGATTCCCAGTACCACATAAATTGGGTAAGGTAACACATCTATAATCCTAGCACATGGGAAGTTTAGGCAGGGGTTTAGGTGTTCAAAGCGATCCTCAAGTAAATCTTGAGTTTGAGGCTAGCCTGGGATACACCAGACTTTGGTAACCCAAGTAAAAATAAAAACATTCTTAGAAATTTTATTGTTTCTGTTGCCTGTGACAGCATTTTCCTGAATATATGTGATAAATTCCTCTTGTGAGCGTCTTAAATGATTTCACACTGGAAGAGACCTGAGCGCTGGGTGATTGAGGCAGTCTTGCATGCTTTTCATTGAGTTTCAAAAGATCCATGAATGCCTTCTACCTGGGAACCTTAAGGTATAAAATACAGGCTGCTTACTGTAAAAGCAGAGGATCCTCCAGTCTCAGGTAAGTTGGGAGCAATGACAGACTCAGTGCTTCAAGGTTTATGGCAGGTCCACAAGTCACTCTGGGAGCTGCTGCCAGTCTGAAGCTCATGCTGCTTGCTGTAGCCAAGGGATAGCAGTGTTTGTCCTCTGAAAGTCTAAACTGGCAAGCTAGTTAATTTGTGAGCAGTTTAGGAAAGGTCTGTCTAAGGGTGCTCAGCCTTGTCTCTGAGGAAGCATTTAGCTCTTCACTGTGAGGTCTCTCACACCATGCAGCTAGGACAGACCTCAAAGTCCTGCAAGCTTCGAAACAGAGACACATTGTAGGATTGAACATTTGAGACTGAGGCAGCAATCTTAAGTTTGTGAGCTCAACTATTACTTAAAGAAGCTAATGTAGGTATCTGGATAGTTCTGAGACAGGGTCATGCTATACAGCCCAAGCTAGTCCTCAACAGGTAGTTCTCCTGCCTTATCACCCAAATGCGGTGGTTAAAACTGTGCTACCACATCCCTAGCTATTTATATTGAAGTGTTTGACAGTGTCTAGTCACTTAAATTCTCAACAGAAATTCTACAAAAAGATGATCTCAGACAATCTGCTTATATCACCTGAAACATGTCTTCTTATGGGATGATTTCAAAGACTCTCAGTAACACTGAAAAACCAATGTGATCTGTACAGGAGACAAATGATGAAGCCTACAGGAAGGGTGTGTCCTGTGCCTTAAACTCCCTAAACACAAGCAAACTGAATGGTGGCCTTTTGGACTGGTGAATGACTTGCTGCTTCCTTTCTTCCACTTATCCATGTAATCACTCACTGAGTACTCTACATGTACCATGAACCAAGGTGCACTGTCAGTGAGCAAAGTCAAATACCTGGCTTTCTCTGGGATACCTCATGGGACAAATAAAAGACCTAGAAAACAGAATCCTGTCAGCATCTTGCAACTGACTGAGATCTCTCCCAGTCTGAAGGGCTTGCTGGAGATCACAAAGGAAGGAACCAGCACCTCTGGATGTCAGCGTGCTATGACTCTGGGAGCCTCACCTGTCTGAACCATTCCAGCAGCACTCGAATTTGTCAAAGATGCAGTCATTCTCATACAAGGAGCAGAGCTTGCTTCGTAGGTACTCATGTACCTGGTGGGTCTCGACAGGCCTGCCCTCCATGTTGAGGTCCCATACTTTCACCGACAGATAGTCTCTGGTCATCATGTATCGACCACTGTGGCTGAACTTGACATCAGATATAGATGAGATTATTTCTGAGAAAAAGGATCTACTGCTGGGATCTTCTGGCTCTTCAAAAACTGAAAAACAAAGTGACCACTTTCAGCTACTATGCTAAATCAGAAGACTACCAACCTAAAATCAGCAGAGGTTTCTCAGAGACCCTGAAGGGCTCAGTGTCATCCTCACTTCCCTAGCTTTGTCTTCCTCTACCATCAGTGCCCATAAGGTGCAGGCCTTCAAATCCTTGCAGACCTTGAACCATATGGGGGCACACATGACTGCAGCTGCTTGTAACCCTCAAGATACTGGGCTGGGAACATGATGTACCTATTTGTCCACATTGCAAGAGTATGTGTAGTACAGAAACAGTGCTCTGGGCACCTTGGGAAGGGCCTACTCATCAGAAGGCACAGAGCTTGCAGGACTGCTAGACTGCCTTGGACCTTAAACCAACAATACAGTGGCCAGCTACACAATACGTCTACTGGACAAGCCCAGACAGCAAAGAAGTTTGCCTTCTCTAGTGAGTGGTCATGTTCCACGGTGATTTGAGTGAAGGAGTGGTATTGCTTCCTCCACAGAACTAGCTTTGTCTGCAGCAGCTTAATAGCTCCCTCCCTTCACCTGGGACCCATGGCAGAGAGAGGTCTACCACCCAAGGCTTCTGGATCCCCAGCTCATAGACATGCCCATGTCTTATCATGTTTTAGGCTGGGAGATACATTTCCTTTTCTTGAAGCTTCTCTAGGGCTTCTAAAATTCTGTGTAGGAGCTTGTGATGGTTGCTGGCTCTGCATGGAACAGACTGGGAGCAAGCTAGTGCCAATATGAAGCATTTACTCAATTAATCTAGTGCTGAGAAGGACAGCTCTTCTTGAAACCTAAAGTTGTTTACTAAGGAACACCTGGAAGACACAGGCTACGTATGCTAGTACTACAGGAACAGCATTCCATGACACGCTTTGGCCTCAGGAGGAGCACTTCCTGGTTGATACACATTTCACAATGCCACTCCAGAGTAGGTGAGAAAGACTTGCTTCCCTATTTGCACAAGTATATCAGCATTGGGAGTGGGAAGTTCTCCTAGACAGCTGTGCATTGTAGCTTTCTAAGATGATGTACAAGGACAACATAGATCATGGTATGCTTTGAAGTTGGGTTCTCATTTTTTTAAAGATTTATTTTATGTATATGAGTATATTGTCGCTGCCTTTAGACACAGAAGAGGGCATAGGATTCCATTACAGATGGTTGTGAGCCATTATGTGGTTGCTGGGAATTGAACCCAGGACATCTGGAAAAGCAGTTAGTGCCGTCTTTGCTGAGCCATCCCTCTAGCCTCCTTCCCCTCCCCCCATTTAAAAATACATTTATTTATTTGGTTTAGGGATGGAGCTTGCATGTCAAAGTCAGAGGACAATTTTCAGGAGTCAGTTTTCTTCCACCATGTAGATCCTGAGGATCAAACAGACTCAGGTCACCAGTCTTGGCAGAGAGTACCTTCACTGGCTGGGCCATCTCACTGGCTCTCAAAGTTTATTTTTAAAATTTTAGGTGTGCATTTGTATGTGGCAGGGGGCAATCTCCTGGAACTGGAGAGTTTTCATGTTGAGGCAGCGTCTCACTCACTATGTAGCCCTGGTCAAATATCACTGTATGGACAGTTTGCCTGGAAATCTCCCTGCCGCTGCTTATAGGATTAAGAGCACGGTTTTGCTTGTTTTTGCCATAAAGCTGGAATTAATAGACAGTTGTAAGCCACTTGAAACGGGTTGTGGAAACCAAACTCAGGTCCTCTGCAAGAGCAGTTCACACTTAGCAGGTGAGCTATCTCTCTGTAAAGAGCAACGCTTTATCCCCACCCTCTTTTGAAGATGAAGTCTCTTCCTGGCCCTCACACAATCAATTCTGCCTCAGTTTCCTGAGTAGCATGGACTCCAGGCACACAGCACTGTATCTGTTTGATACAGACAACACAAGTGGAATGCACTCTGATAGCTACGGCCCAGGTCCTACTACACAAAAGAGGCTAGGATGACGGTGTTCACTGGATGGACCCAGGTCACAGAGAGCTCAGAGTACAGGAAGCTGCTGGAGTACTTCTTTATTAGCATGGCCCATGGGGAGCTTGCCTGCCCATGCTCCAAGCCTGAAGAAGACATTTAGGGCTTCTATCAGCATGAACAGGAAATCAAGGGTATTCTCAGAGACTTACACTTGGCATGCCTGTCACATAGGGCAGAGGAACGCATGTCACACAGCCTGATGGTCCCCTTGCTGCTGCTGTAGACGAATACATTGCACTGGTGTGGGTGGAACTCTGCGGCAGTGATGACTTCTGTCAGCTCCTCCATGTTAGCTGGCTTGATGTCCACAATGTCTGGAGCACGATGTTAAGGCATAGTGCTTAGCTGTCCAAGGGAAATGTGATAGAAAACTGTGCAGTGAGGCATAAGGGAGGAGCTGCAGGAGACTGACCATATACACTGCCACAGAGGAGCCCACAGCCAGGGGCTTCAGGTGGATGCAGGACAGTATGTACGACAGAGCACACAGAATGACATCTACAATGAAGCCAATCAGTGCCACCTACACACATATTTCTATCTATAATTAAGAAAACATGGACAGTATCAAATTACAAATTCTGCCTTTCTAATTACTTAACTTCCAGAGCTTGGATTGCTAGACCAATATAAACACATCAGGAAGTCAAGCATGAATCAGCCGATGGAAATAAAAGGAAGAGTGAAATTCTGCTCTGGGCCATTGTGGGAAGTCGATGGACAGATTTATCTATCAAGAGAAACTAAGACAAAAATAATATACAATGTACGAGTTGTGTATCTCATCACTGGATGCCACAACGGAGAGACAGGAACCCAAAGAAGAAAAAGACAGCAAGAGTCTCAAGCTGCCTAGTCAGTGGCAGGGTGCAGTAGAGAGGGGACCCAGCCCAACTCTGATACCCTCAAGTTAGGTAGATGAAAGCTGCTGGGGTTACAGGGTAAAACATGACAGAAATAGCAGGGAGCTAAGGCTGAGACCTCACAGAAGGTAGGTGACGACTCAACACAAGGACAGCAAGGCAGCCTGGGGGCAAGAACAAGTACTGTGACCTCTACGGTGACAAGAACTAAAGTGCTTAAGAGTTCCAGTCAGGCAGGACATGAATGGTTCACTGGAGGGCAAGAGGTGGGAGGCATATGGTAATATTCAAGGTTTCTCACATGAACTTTCAGGCAAAGGTTAGTATCTTTAGGGACACTCAATCGCAAAGACCTTCTGTTGCCACTACTCTAGAAAATACTGCATTCAAAAGGTCAGTGTTTGAGAGACCACGGTAGAGCTGTTCATGAGAAGTAATTACACAGAAACCAAAGAAACAAACAGAGGCAGCACTTGGTAAAGGATACTGAAGCTTCTATCTGTGATTTCTAAATGCCATAGGTTAATTCTCAGATCATCTGCAGAGAGATATGTTTCATGATCACTATTTACTGAAATGGAATTTATGTGATATGTATGAGCATTTGCAAAAATTCGTCGTGGACTTGCTTCTACCATAAGGTCCATGGGCTTCAATATTGGAACCTAAAAATGGAACGGAGAAAGGAATTTAAAACAAAGGTCACAATAGCATAAGCATCTGGCATTTAGACAAGAAAAGGGACAGGTTTTCTACAGCTGTGCAACACCTCAAATCAGAGGAGAGCTGCTACAGAGTACAGGGTGGAAAGCTGCCTGTTCACAGCCATTCCTCCTTGTTCCTGTTACAGAAGTACTATGGTCTTGTTCTTGTTGGAAAAAAGAAGGTAAACTGCCCTAACCAATGTTCTCTAGGTCACCAAAGCATTACTCTCTTGGGTGTTCTCTGGTGGCCATGGCTGAGACTAGACAGTAACTCCTTGTCTTTGTAGCTGAGGGCACAAATCTCTGCTCTTATAGCGCTGTGCTTTGATTCACAGTGTCAACTCATGGGCCACAGTGGTGGAGTATATGCATATGTAGGGATCAACAGACAGTATGCAGGGAGTCCTTTGGGCTGAGAAGCATCTAATGAAGCATTTATCTGTGATTTGTAAATGCTGTAGGTTAATTCTCAAGAGCATCTGCTGAGATCTGAGATGGAGAGCTGGCTAGTCTGGTCTGAAGTGCAGCTAGTAACCTGGATGGTGTACAGGCCTTGGTGCCACAGCCCCACAGGATTCTGGGGTATCAGTTGCTAGGTGCAGAGAGTTAATAGGTGCAGAGAGATAAGGAGGGGGGTGAGGGAAGGGATGGAGAAGGGGAGACCTGGACAGAACACTTGTGCCTGACACAGGCATAAGACTCAGTCTAAAGAAGCAATACCACGAGACAGAAGAGGAAAAGACTCCCCATTTCTCTATTATTCAGGGAAGGAAAGCCTAAGGTTCCAGAGAAAGTTAAATACTAGAGTAATTTTTATTGCTGTAATTAGATACTAAGGAACTAAAGGCTTAGAAGAATTTTTCAACTTAGTCTTCTCTAGCCAAATTCTGTAAAAGTGTGCCTGGATAAATGTGTAGAGATGCTGTTCGAATTTTAGCCTAGGTAGGTGCTGACTATACCCTGGGGTTTCATAGAACAGAAATGCCAGTTCCACAATATGCAAGTCTAAGACACACACCTGCCATGACCCTCTACTGTTTCCAGCTAACCAAGGCAGCAACAACTGCAATCCTAACTGAAAGAGTCCTTTTAATTAAATCCCTTCTCATAGAATTAAAATAATAGGAAAAAAAATCCTTAAAAGAAGCAGAAACTCCAGTCTGGACCTAGAATATCAGAGTTGGTAGCCAATGATTCTGTCCTCACTGTGTGCCAACACACTACCACCTCTCTCATAGGCTTCACTCTGGCCACCTGACAGGTTTTATTCCAGTTAATTCTGTCAAAGAGGCCTGGTAAGACCTGTGTTTCACCAAATAAGCACATGAGCTTATGGAATACGCAGGGGTCTGAATGAGAGAATCTCAGCGTCTGGGAAGGCTGTGTGTGCAAGTGGGATGAAGTTGGTGACAGGAGAGGTAAGCAGGAGGTTCCAGAGAACTTGGCAATAGCACCTTACAACATGGGAGATTTAAAAATGTGTTCACACTAAGTCACAGATGCAAACACAGCCACTATGCCAGAACTGAGCTATGGTATGGAAGAGAACATCTGAGTTCTATGACTTAGACTTCAACAAACAGCATCTCTTCTCTTGGCCCAGTAACAGGTTACCTGGTAGAGGAGGAAGACAGCCTTTGGATAGTCAGCCCAACTCTGCTCACTGTCTTTGTACAGGGACAGAGAGCCCTTACTTGGCTGTCACCATTTTCTAGCTTTTTCAAGAAAATGGGTCAGAGACTATATACATTCCAACTGCTGGGCCTGAGACATCCTAGAGAAGGCATGTCAAAAAAGGCTGCCACATAACAGCAGCACAGAGGTGGCTACTTTCACATAACAATACCATACCTTCACTTGGTTAACAGTGTAACAAAGGCTTATATTTCACTGAAAAATCCGTTAGCCACTTATCTCAAAAGCTGCGCTCCATTCCTACCCAGGTGCCACTGTTTGCGCTGAGCCCACTACTGAAAGTATCAATGATCAATCCAACAGGTGAAGAATTAAAAAAAAAAAAATCAGTGTGCTCAAGAAGAAATTAACTCAAGAGGAAATTTCACCAGCTCCACTGCTAGTGTCTCACTGGTTGACCAGCTACTGTATCTTCACTGTGTTACTATACTAGCAAATACTCTGGATTCTACCACAAAAGCTCAACCGCCTGGGTACTTCTCAACAGAAGCTCTACCAGAAAACCAAACATGAGCTTCTCCCTCAGCACCATCTTATGACCTTGGTGACATTGAAGAATCCCATTTTCAACAAGTTTACAGCAACTAGGGCTATTACCATCATTATAGATGAGTCAGGAAGGTAAAGCCTGTGACACTCAAAACAGTATTCTCAACAGCTGATATAACTGTTTTGGATTATTTCTGAAAAGTGCTCGAAGGGTTAAAGAAAATGCAGCATATACCCGTAGTGCCGTAATTCTAAATGGGTCTCGAAGTCGTCCATCTTCATCTTTCAAGTTATAACCTTCTGCTCTTTTATCCCGTTCACTTATTTTCCATAATTTAATAGTTTTATCTGAAAATAAAAACCTTATTCTTTATATTAAAAGAAAAATCATAAATGACATGTATCACTGTTATTTAACCACTAGGAAACTGCTGCCTGCCTAAGTTGGTGTCTAAGCTTAGGAGGCCGGGGAGGTGGCTCACTGGGGAAAAGCAGTTGCTTAACAAGCATGAGACTCCAGCTTCACATCCCTAGCCATGTCCCTAAAACCTCAGTGCTGTCTGCATTATTCAAACAAATAAGAGAGTGACAGTGGAGGATATCCAATGGCTTCCTCTGGCCTCCAGAAGCATGCATACGTAAGTATTCACTACATAAATGCATATGCACTATACACACACATACAAAAACTAAAGATGTAAACAAATATATGAAGTAATACTGGTTTTCTATGAAGAATTTGAATTTTCTAGCTATTGTTTTCACCCTAGCTGACAATTCACCTTCTCCAAAGTTTAAAGCAGAAACAACCTCTAGAGTTATTTACAATAAGAATCCATCCACACTAGAATTAAAAATAAATCAAATAGTCATTTACAATTCTCACCATTTGTAGAGAGTAGAAAATGAGCAGCATTCTGTTGCGGTAACCACCTGATTTTATTAATTTTTTCTTCAATTTCTAGACTTTTCAAATAGTCAAACTCTGGCTCATGACTCTGAAAGGTACTGTAAACATTGTACTCTCCCCTAGAGTGAGCGCGGCCTTTATTCTGCAAGGAAACATGATAGCTTCTTTAATGAACTTAAAGCACAAGGCAGATAGATTTTTGACTACTATCAACATGAGCATTAAATGATCACACATCTTTTAAGTTAAAAAGGTCTTGACTCAAAAAAACTCTTGACGAAGCTGGCATTAATGCACTTGGAAGAATAAAGAACGCGCAGCCCTTTCTGCACACTATAAGTCTTCTCTGCAGTGGGCAAGCAGTTTTGTGGGACATGACTAAGCCTGTCTGTGGATGTGCCCCCTCTTCCACCTTTTTGTTTTTAATTGTCAAACAGGCCCCAAGTTTACAGTGTAACCAAAGTTTGAGGGCCCAAGTCTTACCTCTGGCAGCCCCTGCCAGTTTAACTTGGCAGTTCCAGTATGCCAGTAGAAAAGAAAATGAAGTAAGACTCAAAGAGATTGAATGTGGCCATTATCAGGGGAAGCAGAGAAGTCTAATGGCTACTACACTGATTCACCTCTCCAGCTAACTTTTGGTACTGATATGAGTTTAAAATTTTAACAGAGGGGAAAAATCAAAGTGTAAGAGGTATGTGTAGTCTGGCAGTCTTAGTCAGGGTGTTTTTATCTAGTAATTTCCATTCTGGCTCTTATTGCTTGAAGAGATGGACTAGCTCTCAGGAGATGCTAGATTCTGTTCCATGGTGCAGCGTTGCCCTGTGGATGACTGCACATGTCTGCGGTGTAGTACTGTTAGCTCTGCTGTTCCGGGAATCCAAGGACAAAGACAATGACTTATCATTGTGATTTAATCTTTAATGTGGATATGCACACACGGAAGCAGGTAATCCAAAGGAAAGCAGTCAAATACAAGTGATCCAGAGATGCCACATTCTTATACTCTTTCCAACTGCCTTGTGGATCCACATAAGATAGGAATGCTTTTGAACAAAAATATTTTCTAAGTGTCTATTGCAATAGGATGAAGGCATCGTCAGCTTAGGAGTACTCACACAGAGAAGATTTCTTCCTCATCTACTAAGGTAGTACTTGAAAAAATATTCTACATAATTACTGCAACAGGACTGAGTGTAAAAAAAATTGGATACTGAAAACTAAGCTTTCTTTCTGGTAAGCAGTATGTACAGCATGTAGTGATGACATTTGACTGTGGACTGTAAAGCACTGACCTCTTGTTCCCGTTGGAAAATAACAACTCTGCCACCTTTGTCTCCTGTTGCAAGAAGGTCTCCAGAGTAATTAAACTCAACGGTGGAGATGATGTCGGCTGTCAATAGAAGACAGAGTCAATCACAACTGATGTTTTTGTGAGGATCAAAAGATGAACACATACAAATTTTCCCTCCAGATAAAACAAACATCCCATGAAAATGCATATATACTTCTTGTCTGCTTTATGGATCTAAGGTAGAACCCACGTACATGGGAATTCTGAGAGTCTGATTTCACTGATCCAATTTAACCTCATGTTCCTGTCATCAGTAACTTATCTAGACTTGGATGGTTTTATTTACAAAGTAGGATAAGAATTTAGAAAAATAATTTTTAAAGGAAAACAACACAAAACACCCCAGTTGGCTTTAGAAGAATGGTACCTAACTTTAAAATGCACGCTTAATGTCAACTTTTAAAATAAATATATTTTTTAATGTTTATGAATATTTGCCTGTAGGCATGTATGTGTGCCACATGTACACAGTACCCGGCAGACAGCAAAAAGGGTATCGTATCCCCTGGGACTGGAGTTAAGAGTGCTTGCTAACCTCCACATAGGCACTGTAAACTGAGCCTAGGTTTTCTGCAAGAGAAGTCAGTGCTCTTTAACCACTGATTCACCTCTCCAGCTCCCTAAATTTGATTCTTACACAGTAATAATAGGAATGTTTTAATATTCATATAGAACCTTTTGCTGGTCTCTGTACAGTGCTACAGATCATGACCACCCTGTTCAAGATTGACAAACGGTAAGGCTTGGAGCTCTTTCCCAATCCCAAGGTGTCTGAAGAGGCTCTGCAGTACATAAATGGTGTGTATGCCACCTCAGGGGAAGACTACAGGGGTGGGAAGCAGGGTGGTACGCTCCATGCCTATGAGTGGGAAAAGCTGTCATATTTCTAGACAAAAATCTAGGACTCTGGAGGACAGTCTTACACATTTTAACTGTGCCACCTGCTGCCTGAATAAGAATAAGGTTCAGACACACTCTGAGGCAGTATGGCATATCCTGTGGACTAAATCTGCAGCATATATGGCAGTAAGGTCAGCTGACTTGATCATGAGGCCAGTGATGTTGCAGACTAGTTTCTGTGCTATACAGCTTTTCAAGTCAGCATCAGCTGTCAACTTGACAAAAAACTAGAATTACCTGAGAAAAGAGGACCTCAACCTAAAATCACCTCAATCAGACTGGCCTGTGAACATTCTTTGCAACATTTTCTATCATTTTATTGGGGGGGGGGGAGGGGAGCAAGGCTGAAGGGGTTGAGTAGAGAGGTGGGTGTTTGACAAGATCTCTTTATGTAGACCAGGCTGACCTAGAATTTAGAGAGATCTGCCTGCCTCTGGCGCCAAGTGCTGGGATTACAGGTGTGTGCCACTACCTGGTGAAGCATTTTCTTAATTGCTAACTGATATTCAAGGACACAGCTCACTGCTGGCCTTGGCTGTATAAGAAAGCTAGCTGAGTAAGCTAGAGGGAGTAAACAAGTAAGCAGCTTCCTTCCAAGGTCTCTGAGTCATTTCCAGCTCTCCATGTTCCTGCCCTGGTTTCTCTCAACGATCGACTAAAACCTGTAAGCTAAAATAAGCCCTTTCTTCTTCAAGTTTCATTTGGTCATGGTGTTTATCACAACATCTGAAAGGCAGACTAGAACACAGCTATAAGCACATTCTCTACCAGTTAAGTTTCTCTATGTAGCCCTGGCTGTCCTAGAGCTCACTCTGTAGATCAGACAGGTTTCTAACTCAGAGATCCTCTGCCTCTGCCTCCCTAGTGCTGGGCCTAAAGGCTTGTATGTACCATCACCACCTAGCAACTAGATGCAATTCTTAAGAGTTGTATGATGAGAGCAAACTGTGCTCTATCCCAACAAACTCCATTTTATAAGCAGCGTTTGATTCTACTGTGAGAATGGATGACGACTCTGTACTTAGCTGGACACTGTAAACAAACACCATCTGTCTAGCATCATACCCCAACTCTCCCCTCCTCCTCCTACCACACACACACACATTGATAAACAATTATTCTTCTAAGTAGCATCATACCCCAACTCTCCCTTCCTCCCACACACACACACATAGATAAGCAATTATTCTTCAAAGTAAAAAGGGTGCCATACTGTAAATTTATTGACGTAAATGAGCACAAGCATGTATTAAAGTCATTACCAGGAAAGCCAAGTCTGGTATGTCTGTAGCTCCCTCAAATGAAACCTATACAGAGGCAGGCACCCTAACACTGTGATGTGATGGCCCTAGCAACCTGCCATCTGACCACCTTGGGTATGATTCAAGGCACCAAAAGCAGAAAACTGACTGTTTTCAGGGATTTCAGCTTCGCTTAGTCTGCGGTGTGACCTGCTCTAACTGCTGCCTGTCCATTCAACCTAGTACTCTTATCTGGACCTGATGCTCTTTCCATACATACATTTACCTGAATCTGGTCTTGCCCTTTGCTCTTCCAGCTCCCCACACCTCACTTCTGCAGCTTAAATCTGGCAGCATCTCCAGGAGGCTCCCCTTCGGCTTTGCCCTCTCACTCCTCTGCCTCTCTACCTGCTTTTGTTTCTCAGGCTTCTTTGCAATTCCTTGAATTCCACTTGGGCCTCTTTAACCTCTGTAGTCATTCTGTTACCTACATATATGTACAGAGGTATTACTAGATGACCTGTAATGCACGATTTGAGCATTACTATTAGTAACTAATGACAAAAACAGAAGAACCAGTGTTTGCCTTAGCTGACTGTCAAGGAAAGGACTGCCTGGCAACTTGCAACCAATGAAACTACCACACCTTGTGAATTTATTGTTACTCAATAAACTCTGACAAAGTGGAAAGGCAGAAATGCATCTGACAGAGCCTCTCTTTTAACATTGCACAAGAGCACCAATCAAATAGTTGCCAAAAGTTTCCTGAAGATACCTCAGAGTTGGCATGGCTATGTTGGTATTGCTTGCTGACCCCACTAAGGGGGCTCCTTGTCTCAAAAGGCTTCAGTTGGACGTGGCATAAGGACTAGACTATGTCCCCCCACCCTTTTTTGAGAGAGGGTCTCATGTAGTTCAGGCTGACTGTAAACTCCTGATCCTCTTGCCTCCACTTCCCAAGAGCTGGGATTACAGGCACGAGGCTCCATGTCCAGCTGAGCGACTTTTACTAGCAGCATCTACCCACTCCCCACACTGAAACCAGGGCCTCATGTATACTAGGCAAGTGCCATTTAGCCACACTGCCAATCTACTACCCTAAAATTACCCAAAATAACTTAATATGCTTGAATGAAACTAAAACTTTCTTTACTTGCCCCAAAGAAACTAAATCTATGTTACTCATACTCAGAGGATATACAATATTATGTAATTAATAGTGTTTTAGCTGTCAGTGATTTTCAGATTAATTAAAACAAACGGAATCTTTTAAAAGAGGAACTCCTAAGCCTATCAGTGCTGAGAAATAATTTTCATTAAGTCACAAATTATGTCTGAGTCTAAAGTTGGAAATGTTCTTTGTAATGGCCAGATAAGCATTAAAGCTAAAATATACACATGAACTAAATGTGAACAAATTTTAAAACCAGTAAAATTTAAGTGATCTACATCAATTCATTGTGATACCTTTTTATAACAGTAGACTGAAACTAAATGCATAAAAAGGTGTTAACAGATGGCAATCAACCATTTCTAAATTACCACGTTCGTTGAGCTTACTTATTTTGCCTATTAGAGTGCCCACACACGACTCCTGGCTACAACTTCAGTGAGTTGGCACAAAGGGGCCACTGAGGCTCTTTGTTGTTAGGTGGTGGTTTGACTGATACAAAAAGTCTTGCTGGATATTTACATCACTTTATTACAGACAATTCCAGATATTTTGAGCAATGTCAGACTTGAAGCCACTCTTCTGCCCTAAGGCCAAACAGCTCCAGTTAGGGGAACATTCCTTGGGTCCATCCCACTTCATGTTCCTGTGATGCTGGGTGATGGGCTAGCACACCCACCCTGACTCCAGGATACTTCTCTTCTGAGAAAGCAAAAGCAAGAATGCAGAAGACAGACAGTTCTCCAAGGCCACTTGTTCACAGAGCTATCTTCACAGTGGCCCTACTTTTAAAACAAAATCCACAACTCAGGATCTGCAGATGTGAAAAAAGTCAACCAAACAAAGCAGACACTGGGGAGAAAACAAACATCCACTAATAAAGGGTCAACAGTGACCACTAACATCGTTAGCCCCATTGTCTACTAACAGCACTTACTGCGCTAGTGTCTTGGTAAGCTCTGCCTGGGAGGCAGCTATTGTCATCCTTGCCTGACTGAGAAGGCCCTTTCACCTAAAATGTAAGCAGCCTAAAAACTGCAAGGCACAAGGGCACAGCTGCAAGATGGGTTTCAGTGGCCCATGGCCCAGTTGACAGTTCTAAAATGAGGGTGAAAAGAAGAGTATCAGAGGGTTAGGACCAGAGTCTCTTAGGTGCAAAGGTGCAGGCCAAAGGCTGATGAGCCTGCATAGGGGCAGGACATGTACACAGAGCAGGAAAGACTCCAACCACACAAAAGAAAGCAGAGCTAATAGCCACACGTAGGTTTCAGGGAGATGGATGAATACTAACCATCCTTAAAACTCTAAGGAAAAAAACAAAACAATTTCAACTTAAGATTCTATACCAAGTCAAGTTTTAATTAAAGTTGAAGAAGTTATTAACAAGTGCTAATCAAGTACCCTGAGGGCAACTCAAATGTCCATTCAGGAGAACAGATATACAAGTTATGTAATCATTACAAAAGAACACCATGGAACAATGAAAACGACCAAGTAACTAGCATCCATAATCAGGATGAAAAGCAGATGCACATACTAATAGTGTTAACCTCACTTATATCAAATTCAAAACCAGGATGACTGATTATGTAGGGGGTGGGGCTAGGTAGTAATTATAGCAGTGCTACACCCAAAACCAAAAAAATCCTATTGGCTAGGTCAGAGCTGGGGTGGAGCCACGTTGGAGAGAGTAAAGTCTTGGTTTTGTTCACTCTCATATCTCGGCT